TTCAGTGAAGCAGTAAACAGTGATTACTCTGGAGAACAAGGGAAGAAGAGGCAGTGAAAAACTCTTTGCCAGAGGTAATGCTCCTTCTCTATCAAGAAAAAGACAAGATTTTTGGGCTTAGGCATACCCCCACCTCACATGCCCACCAAGTTAAATAAAGAAGATAAAAAATTAAAGCAATAGCACCCTAATCAGAAAAAAAAAAAGCAAATCAGGCAACACACATGACCAGGAAACCAGGAACATCTGAAAACAAAATGGAATAGTTGAAACAGAAGAATATTTGATTTTTTCAGCCAAAAAGGACAAATAGAGACAAAAATAGGTATTATATAATGCTCAAGGGAAAAATTAATCAAGAAGATATAACTATCACCAATATTTATGCACCAAACTCTGGTGCACCTGAATGTATAAAGCAACTATAAATAGAACAAAATCAATACACTGATAACAACACAGTAATAGGGGACCTCAACACAGCACTTACATCAATGGATAGATCATCCACACAGCAGTAAACAAGGAAATAATGGTCTTAAATGAAGCATTAGGTCAGATGGACTTAATGTACATTTACAGAACTTACCATCCCAAAATAAATGAATACATGGTATTCTCAAGTGCACCTGGAACATTCTCAAGGATAGATCACATGCTGGGACACAAAACATATCTCAGAAAATATATGAAAATTGATATTACATCAAGTCATCTTTTCTGATCAAAATGGTATAAAAGTAGAAATCAATCACAAAAAGGAACCTGGGAAAAAAACAAATGTGGAGACAAAACAAAATGGTTTTTAATAGCACCTAGATCAAAGGAGAAAGAATTATCTGGAGACAATTGAAAATGAAGAGATATCAAAACCTATAGGATGAACTAGGAGTGCATAAAAGGAAGTACACAGCAATACAAACCCACATTAATAAATAAGAAAAATCTCAAATAAACAATATAACTTTAAATCTGAAGAAAGAAAAAAAAACATATAATCAGTAGCAGAAAGAAAGTAATAAAAGTGAGTATGGAAATAAATGGAATATAAACCAAAAAAAAAATGATCCAAAAGATCAATGAAAGCAAGAACTGGTTCTTTTAAGGAGCAAACAAAATCAACAATGCCTTAACTAGGCTTACTAGGAAAGGATGAGAGAAAACCCAAACAGAAAGTGTCATAAATGAAGAGGTAGAATTACAACAGATACTGTAGAAATAAAGAGCATCATAAGAGACTACTACAAATGTTCAAATGCAAGTAAACTGGACAAACACAGGGGAACTGGAAAAATTTTACAATTATACAAACTTCCAAGCCTGAACCAGGAAAAAACACCCTCTGAACAGACCAATCAGAAGCACAGAAATAGAAAGAATAAAAATCTTCTAAGAATAAAGTCCAGCATCAGCTGACTTCATTATCTGATTCCATCAAAACTTCAGCAATATATTAAGACACTCATTCATCATTACCAAGTAGGATTCATTCCAGGGATGCTATGTTGGTTTATTATACACAAATCAATTAATGTCACTCACCACATTAACAAAAAGAGATATGAAAATCACATGATCCTTTAAATACACACTAAAAAGCATTATAAGGTTCAACGTATTTATGATAAAAACTCAGCAAAAATGGGGACAAAGGAACATATCTCAATGCAATAAAAGCCATACATGATATAAACCCACAGCCAACATCATACTTAACGGTAAAAAACTAAAGGCATTTCCCCTAAGATCAGAAAAAGACAGGGATGTCTTTTCAAATAGTATTAGAACACTACTTTTCAAATAGTATTAGAAGATCTGACTAGAGCAAACAGGCAAGAAGAAGGGATCCAATGGAAAGAAATAAAACTACCAGTATTTATAGATGACATGATAATATACATAGAAAATCCAAAAGACTATAATAATGCTAGAAATAAGTAGAGTATCAGGAGACAAAATAAATATAAAATATCTGTTGTGTTTCTATTTGAAAACAATTTATTGTAAGAAAGAGAAATTAAGAAAATTATCCCATTTACAATTCCACAAAAAAGGATGAAATATCAGGCAGTAAAGTTAACAAAGGAGGTGAAGGACCTATATACAGACCAGAAGACACTGTCAAAGGAAACAAAAGAACACACACACGAATGAAAAATATTACATGTTCATGGATTAAAAAGAATAAACATTGGTAAAATGGCTATATTACCTAAAAGAATTTACAAATTCAACACAGTACTTATTAAAAGCCATTGATGATTTTAAAGGAAATAAAATGAACATACAATTTGTATGGAACCACAAAAGACCCTGAACAGCCACAGCAATACTGAGAGATAAGAAGAAAAATGGATGTATCACATTCCCTGACTCCGTAACTATACTCACAGTGACAGTAATGAAAACAGTATGGTATTGGAACAGGACCAGAAACACAGATGAATGGAACTGAGATCCCAGAAATAACCACACAAATATGTACAGGTATTCACTGGCAACAGAAATGTATCCATGCAATGGAGAAAGGAATGTCTCTTTAACAATGGCATTGGGAAACTTCAACAGTCACATGCAAAAGAGAGAAATTAGGTCATTACTTAACTCTATATACAAAAAATAAATAAAAATAGATCAATATAAAATCTGAAACCATAAGACACACAAAGGAAAACACAGATACACTCCTGGGACATCAACCACAGAAATGTATTTGGAGACTCAATGCCAAGATCAAGAGAAACAAAAGCAAAAATAAACCAATGGGACAATATCAAACTAGAAGAGCTTTTATATGATGAAAGAAACCACCACAAAAACAGAAATGCAACCTATGAGCTGGAGACAATATTTATATATAACATATCCAACAAGGGGTTAATTTCCAAACTACATAAAAAATTCAACAACAAACAATGAACAATACCATTAAAATTGGACAAAAGCTCTAAATAGTCCCCAAGAAGAGATACAGAAGACTTACAAGCATATAAAAAATGCTCACTATCACTTAACCACAATGAGTTATACCTCATGCTTGTGAGAATGATCCATATCAAAAAGATTGGAAACAACAAATACTTATCCATTGTTGGCAGGAATGTAAATTGGTGTACCCTCTGTGAAAAATGGTATGGAGAGTTCTCAAAAAATAAAATGTAAATACTACATGATCCAGCAATACCTTTGCTAGGTATTTATCCAAGAATATGAAAACACTAATAAGAAAGATTTATGCACCATCATATTCATGGCAGTAATATTCACAACAGTCACGTCATAGATACAAACTAAATGTCCATGGACAGATGATTGGGTAAAGAAATTATGGTATATACGCTCAATGGAATATTATTCAGGTATTAAAAAAGATGAAATAGTGCTTTTGGAAAAAAGCAGATAGAACTTGAGGTGATTATGTTAAGTGAAATCCAGAAAATGAAAGACAGTTAGGAAATGGTTTCACTAATTGAAAGAACATAAGTAACCACAACAAACAAACTGACAAAGCTCAAATAAACCACAGATTCTGTGAAAAATATACTATCGGAGAGGAAGAGGGTGAAAGAGAAGATGCAACGGAGGTGACACTGGAGCTTTAAAGAATGTGAGTAAGACACATGTTCGTATGGACATGTGAAGTTGTACTCCCCAAGGTATGTAGCTATGTAAATATTTAGCAAATCAATGAAATTTGAGATTTTTTTTTTTTAAAGAGCAAGAATTACTGTGGAGTCATGCTTATTCTGTTCTAAGGGTCATAGAGTAAAACTCCCTTGTGAGTTTCCACAAAGGGCAACACACTACACAGGTCTTCAGGGGCTACAGCTGGTCTGTTGAAGAAGACAGCTGTGGAGGGACTCAAAATGTTCTTTTGGAATTTCTCCACATGGAAATACATCTCAATCTCATACTTCACCCTTTCTATGTGACTTCAGGAAAATAATTTCACTTCTCTATTCTGTCAGTTTCTCATTGCAAAATGATTTTAACAATTATGGCTAATTCATAAAGTTGTTATCAACCTTGGGTGTATGTTATGTTAGTAAACTGCAAAGAACTAATAAATATTGGTTGTACCGGCTAGTCTTATTTTTAGAGAGGGCAGAATTACATTTGAAGGACTAGAAAGATTAACCTGTGTAAAATGATAGAATTAGCTGAAAATATATGGGATTTCTAAGTATACAATTTAGTTATAGTAAAATATTGCCTAAAACATGATAGGACTGGTTTTGTTCTTTCCTTTCAATATCAAAAAACTTAATTGACTTAAATTCCTTAGTTTTTAGGAACATGATCTAGAATTATGTTGTCCTAACATGACTTAGCACTTAGTTCTACTAGTTTGTTACTAGTAAGGGTTAACTTTAAATAGATTGCAGGTTAGAGGGTATATTCTAATCATCCCCAAAAAGTAGATATTTTTCTTCATAGGTCATTGGATTCAAACAAATTTGTCCTTGAAATATGGTATAAATATCCTGGGACAAAAGGTTTTGTTAATTATCGAAGACAAAAATGGCCTCAAGTGGTTCTCAAACAAAATCTTCCACAATGCTAAGGGTTTTTGTGAAGTTTATGCCATTTTCATCAGAAATATAATGTATGTGCATACTACGTAAGACTCAACTGAAAACAATTCTGCTGCAAAACTGTGTTAAATCCTCTCATATTACCTTTCCTCCAGTTAAGTAAGAGTCTAGCATTGCTGACTTCATGAACACATGATCTGTACAGTCCACACATGACTTTTCAGTTGGAAAGGGTCAAATTGTTGTTGTCACCCTCTTGAAATTTTTATCATATTTTGAACGGGGGATCTGTATTTTCACTTGACATTGAGCCCCGTAAATTTTGTAACCAGTCTTAGCCTACTACAATTTTTACTGAAAAACAGCCTTAACTGAATAGATCAATAAACAACTGAATAGATCAATAAAAGGTGATATTTTTAGTCTTTGAAGTAATTTAAAAACAGTGAACAAGCTTATACTTACCCCAAGTCCACCACAAGGTAATGAAGAAAAAAACTTTTGAGAAGCATCACCTATACAATAAAGAACATGAAAAAATATATAAATTGGGAGTATAATTATAACTTTTAAAATGTTGGTCACATGGTATCTGTCATTTGACTTAAAAAGAAAATGATCAAATTTTAGATAGGTTATGAACTTAAAACAACTGAATATAAATATTATTGCATACAGAGACACCACATGAACAAACACATATCTATAAAATTTTAATACAAGGACTTTTTTAAAACTGCTTTATATATCTCATATCTTTTAAAATCATCATTATACGTAACTTAGGTATTTATTGAGCGCATCCCTCTAATTTGACATTTTTGAAAAACACTACCATGTTTTAAATGTTTCAAATATTAAAACATACAGGCAATCATAATTTCTACCTCAGATATATAGTTAAGGCAAGTATACCACAAATTTCTCAATTATTCATAATTTTTTAAACAAACAAGTCAAGAAACACTAAAAAGAAAACCCCATTTGGGAATTAAATTATATAAATATACCTTTTAAAAATTACATGCCAAAATCTTATTATATGAATAATTCTTGGAACTGGTATTTCACAAGCTATTTAGTAACAATTTTGTTATCTGCACTTTCATTTTCTACATAATCTATCACCATACATAAAGAAAGCAAAAGTAATTACTCCTAAACATCTAAGACTAAAGTCCACCTTGTGAAAAATTAATTAAAGGCAAAGGCAGTGGCATTTCTTATAAGAAATGATTCTTAAGTGACTCATGTCACTTAGGAAATCAGTGTTAGAACCAGGTACAAAACATCATTTTACATTTTCCAATTGATTTTTCTATTGATGAGCAATAAAATAAATAATAATTAAAATTGAAAACAGGTTTGTGGTGGAATTTATAAGCCTTGTCAATAAAAGTCTAAATTGTTTTTACTGTCACAAAAGAAAGCTTATTTTGAAAACAACAAATTGTATGAGCTGATTTTTCAAATGCAATTGGATGGAAAATTATAAAAATACAAGTGCAGATGAAAAAATAAGACATTATACATAAGGATCTTCATGGAAAAATATGAGAAGATAATATAAAAATACATTATGGGAAAATATTAAAACTGGAATACTGGCAACAGTAAAAGATACATTTAAAAAATTGATGGATTGTGGAGAGTTTAAATTTTCTTAGGTTGTTGCTCTTAATGACTATATTTCTATATACCTGAATATTTTGCAAAGATATATTTATATGTTGCATGTGAAATTAAAATACATATGTATGTATATATGTCTAAACTTTTCATTCCATAGGCAATGAAAAGGAATAGATAATATAAGGTGATAGAGCAATTTTTAAAACTTTTAAAAATATTAAATTTCAACAATGTTTAAAATGTAAGTTTTCAAAATTACTTTGATAAGAAAAATAAATGCTATGCTGCTTAAGGAGAATGCTATTTAATAACAATTGCATAGAACAAAACATCCCCAAATCAATAACTTAAATTCATAATGTATAAGAAATTATTAGTTTACTGAATCGATTGGATTTATTTTTTATAATGTTACACTGCCTTACCCATAGACTGAGATCTGGCTAGTCACAAGATAGTAAAAACTGGTAGTGAGAGCAAGAGGAGTATTAATGTGAAGGGAAGCCTGGCACTAGAAGTGCTTGGAGAGAATGTTTTTAAAGTGTCACCTTACAGGGTCTAGAATGTTTAAAGAGATAAATAGTGTCCATTTTTAAATGTAATTATTTTACCAGCTATACATGTCTTTCAAGATACAAAGATCTATAGCTCTGGTCAAAATGAGCTTTTTCTTAAATCCGTCTTCCTAAATCTAGAACACAGCTATCAAAATGGTAGTATCAATTTAACTCAGAGGATTTGTACAATTAAATGCCCAGAGAGACTGGACCAGAAAGACAGAAGTGTGGGAGTGAAAGAACAGCATAAAGGGAGAAAATATCTTGATGATTTTAACTTGTATATATTCATACATCTGGCTTTTAAATATAAATAAACAAGCCATAAGGATTCACATTTATTAAGAAAAAGTAGTAGGACAATACTGGGATTATTCACTTAGAACTTAAATAGAAATTTTTGGATTCAAGGGAGAAACAGTAGTTAAAAGAGTCATCAAAGTTGAACTTAATGCTTGACATCAAGACCTAATAGACTGCAACATTATTTTATTCATATAACCTATAGCCATTATTGAAATGTGCTTATGGAACCCCACCTGTGTGTCTAATGCTAAATAAATCATCAATTGCAAGATTATCTCACATAAAATACTTGAAAATAATAAAATATATGGCCAATTTGTTTGGATTAAAAATGTAAAAATTAAAGTATTGGTAGTTAGTGTTTTCATCACATACATATAGGAAAAGATCCTTTGTCCAAATTCTACATTATACATTGGAATTCATTTTTAAGTGGTCACATTTTTTTAATGACTCATTCCTCTTGACTATTTTGAGAAAACCAATTTTGTTCAAAAATGTCAAATTTCATTTTAAAAAGAGGTATTCTCATGTTTCATTAAACAAAAGCATTTGAAGTTGACAAAGTTTAAGCTTCATTTTTTTTTACAAATGCATTTTTTCCCTTAAAATGTGAAATAATGGTTGCTTTGAAACATTTCTAAAACATGTATGTGTGAGTTTAATCCCAATTAAATCTTAAATACATAGTCCTATGCCAAGGTTGATTTATAGTTTCAGTTAAAAAACAACAACAACAACAACAAATAAACAAAAAGCCAAAGAAGCTTTTCTACTTATTTTTTTCTTAACAAAATTAAAAAGTGACCTACATGGAAATAGCTTCCAAACTTTAAATATGTGAGTATTTTCCCCATTAAAAAAGAAGAAAGTTAGTGTTTGGTTTACTTTAACTTTGTGATAAATGGGATAAGATTATTAATTCATATACAATAAGGACATTTATTATACAGTATGAACAGTAAAGTACTTTATGTAAAGGACCTGCATGTTCAAAGAATGGTTCTTTCAACAGAAAGAAGAAAAAAGTGCATATATATCATATTTTTACATCTATGTGTTTAGATTGACTTTTTTTACTTATATAAATTAATACATACCTTAATTCTACTAAAAATGACTTTTCATCATCAAATTTTAGTAATCTTTCCTAAAAATTGTGTAAATATTGTGTCCCTGAATTCTTTCTCCCCCAACTACCATTATTCACTCTACATGCACACATATGTACATACACATGTATGCACATACACTGACCTTTATGTCTTTACTGAAAGAAAGGGATGCCTGCCACTAGTTTTAAACAGGCAGATTGTAAGCATTACTACTGATACTATTAATTTCCCCTTATACTTGCTTTCCAAAATATCTGCCTACTGCCTGAGTTATACTTGCTTTTAAATTGTTTAGGACCAGTTAACATAAAACCATTTTGAAATAATACTGATTTAGGAGAAAGAGCCCAATAATTTGGAACTGACATAATAGGTTTAAAAAGAAAAAGACAAAAAATAGTCTTAAATGACATTTTAGTTAAAATACTCTAAAAACATAATCCATTGGGCACACTTTACCCTGTCTTACATTGTTATTCAATTATAAAAGGTTTTTAATAAAGTTAATATAATTGTTTCAGTTAAAGTGTAGTAGCAGACTTTTTTCAAAAACTTATTTCTATCATTCACAAAGTTTATGTAAAACAGTTTATCAAAATTTTATCTTAAAATCAGATGGTAAAGTTTTGAAAAATCATACATTAGCTATTAGATAGGTCTATTAGCTTTCTATTTCTGCCATCTACTTTGTTATTTAATTCCATAAAGAAAATGTGTATTAGATTACATTAAGATATAAAATGCAATGTTACCATAAAATATAGGATTCTAGCTATATTAATAATAACTTTCAGTTAAAATAAGTTGGACTATGCCCTTTGTTTGTTAAGGTCATAGAGAAACAGAACTTCAAGAAAAAACAAATATAGGGAAGATGAAGATAAATTTGCATAAAGAATGTGAAAATCTTTTTTTTTAGTTAAAAAAGGCAACCAAATAAATTCAACAATGCACTTATTCCTGCATGCTAAAATACAGTAAGCAAATTGCATTCAAATAAAGGTTAATTTTAAGGGAAACATCATAGAACTTTCACTGTGAAACTTTCTAATGTAGGATTTTCTTAACTTTCCTTTATTGTAAATGACTTATTCCACAGAGCTATGTTATTGGAAAAGCTGATTTTTTTGTGTGTCATACCACTTGCCAAATATTTTCACCAACACCAGAATTGAATAATGGTAGTGCTGGAATGTGCTGTTCTCAATAGAATGGAGGCCCATACAGACCTAGCAGTATCCTGGGGTCCAGTTTCTGTCCATCCATGGGGTTGGTGCCGTACAACAACGAATGATGCTCAGAATGAACAAGCTGTATTTCCTCCAGGCTGGCTTTTCGACCTTGAATTCGCTGAAAGAAAACAGCAGAAGCCTACAGTACTCCACTGACAACATTTAGGAGAAAATAAGTCACATTTAGGATGATTAATAATGGGCTGAGTTTCACCATCTAGGAATGTGACACTGATTTGCTTAGTAAAGCACCATAATAACATTTGAAAAATGAATGCATGCAAGATTCAGGTCCAGTGGCTCATTTATGTCTAAATGGAAAATTGACCTAAACTACATTCTGACATAAAAAGCACATTTTGAGATAAAAAAATTCTGTAACAGAAATTAAGAGTTCATGCCTTTGTAAAAGTATCACAAATACTAATTGTGACTAATCTTTAAATGAGAAGTAAATTTATCAAAATTTCATTTTACACTTATCCGAAGTTGTTGTAACAAATTCCTTCTTGTAAGTAACTACCAGTAATTTTTAGTGTATTGTATTATCACAAGTACTCCAATCACTTCATGTGTGCATCTCCTAGCAGTGTTAAAATAAACCAGTGTTACTCAGAGTGTCTACAGGATTGGTAACAATTCAGGAATTGTTTTCAAATGGGCTATGATGATATCTGTATAAAAATTCAGAGTAAATATTTAGAAACCTTTATAGTAATTTTTACAGTATTTTTATATCTTCTGAATTAAATATAATTTTGTATGTTTCAATTTTAATTTACTTTTGTTGTATTTTATTTTTAATGTATTTTAGAAAAGCATTAGTCTGTGACAAGTTGGAAATTAAACAAAAACAACAACTGCTGCTTAAACAGACAAGTTTGTAACACTCTAGACGCTAGAATTAGTCAATACTTTTACACACTTAGTAGGCAGAGACTTCCATATCACCTAACAAAAAAGGTCCTCCAACAGAGACAAAACTGCATATTAATTTAAACCTCAATTAGACAATATGGAAAATTTCTTCCTGGCCACTTCTCAGTGGGTGCATCTAAGAGCCAAATAAACATCTAAGAGCCAAATAAACTCCATGGTAATGTATGGAGTTTTACTGAGCCTGAACTCTGAAAATAGCTGTGCTTCCTAAACTTACACAGACAGTATTATTACTTCACTTTAAATATGTATCACAAGACACTTGTAAGGTACTGTGTAAGTTTAGAAATGCAATGAAATTCACAGAGAATCAGGTAATTGCTCTCTTCTCATATCCTGATCATGGAGTCACCAGCTGACATGGAAACATCAGCTGACAACAACTGACTCAGGACCAGCACGATCCCACAGTCAGACTCAGGCTGTTGTTGATATGTGGTTCACTGAGAGGGAAGGTGGAAACCTTCATATACTGATTCCTTCTAGGGGTTTATGGAGTAGAGGGCAAAGCTGTGCTTGTCACTGAAAATAAATTATCATGTCACAGTGAAAGAGGAATGGTGGGGGACCAGAGGAGTAACAGGAAGGTAAAAGGAGTGATGTAAAACAGAAACTTCTTAACACTGTGTCATTATGTGTCAAGTAAACAAACACATAAGGAATTTTCTTTGCTAAGCCATTGAAGTTCACTGTTTTTGACACGATTACAGCACTTTGTAACCCGATGCATATTTCTAGAAAAATTAAACTATGCTTTAGAGAAATTATTCCCAGGAAGGTAAGATGAGAATTCTAACACTGAAGACTAAGGCATATATTATGATAGCCATATGGTCAGCACTGCTCTGATCAATAAATGAGTGTATTACTGACCTAGGTGGCTTTCCGGCAGACATTCAAGTTGGAAACCAGAACAACCAAAGAAACAAGAGAAAGAGTGCAAAGTCAATGTGGAAAGGAAATATTTTGACTCGTGATTTCAACTGATATAAAAACTCCCCAAAATATGGGCCTCCCCGGTGGCGCAGCAGGTTGAGCGCTGCGCTGTGAAGCTGTCTGCAGCCTCTGCAGTGCAGGTTCGATCCCAGCCGGCTGGGCGAGAATCCCACATGGTGCAGCAGACCTCTCCTGTCTCGTCCGCTGCTCCCCTCAGCAGTGTATTTCATCAGTCTGCCTGTTCTGCTCCCTGTTCTGCCTCTGGTGAATCCTCACCCTCCCACGCCTCTGGCCTGTACCCCAGCTCTTGCATAAAAATAAATAACTCTTTATTTAAAAAAAAAACTCCTCAAAATAAAAAGTGGTGACTCCATTGTCTGAGTCTTCTAAAGTTGAAATAATTACTATTGAAATAACAGTATTAACTCAACAAAAATATTTAAAATAATAAATAAAATTGGTGTGAACAGAGCACTGGGAAATAGACTGGCAACCAGTTCTCCTTTGGCAAAATAATGAACACCATAAAATAACAGGGTTTCCAGTTCTCATTTCTTTTGAGTCTATGAAATTCATACCCATTTATATTATATATGAAAATAGCTATATCTTAAACAATGTCAGTTCTATAGCTAACATTCAGACCTAAATTTTGACTACTTTCATAAAACTTCATTTATTTTCCCCTTTTTATAAAGATTTTTCAGCTTTAAATTATATGTTTGCCTCTAGTAATAACATTAAATATAGTTAGTAATATAAATATAACCTTGTTTTCATAAACTAGTGTATACACACACACACACACATATGAAGAAGTTTCTTCCCTAAGAATATGATCTTTTCAGTTCAGGGCCACAGACAGTCCACATTCATATACTCTATACTTGCCCCAACTCATTTCTCATTCTTCCATAATCTCATGAGCATTCAGGATGAATTCTCAATCACACATATGAGAAATAGTCTACTACAAGATTCAAGTACTGACAATAGCTCAGGTAATCATAAATCCTAAGAGTAAACCTGTTGCATCTTAGTCACCCCTTGAGTAATACCAGTCAACTTATCTGGCCCGGCCTATCTAACATTAACTTATTCTAAGAGTATACTATTTTATTTCAGACCACATTTCTTGCCCTCACTATTAAATTTTAACATAGTTCATACATATTACTTTGATCTCTTCTCTCTTCACCCCTTCCATTTCATTCCAGGAAGTATTTTACACTGGGTCTTTTCATTATTATAGAAAATATTCCTTAAATAGTTACACTAAATTTAAGGAAGCACTTATTGTTGATAATCACCTTCTACTTCTATAGCTGTTGGAGAACGAGACCCACACATAGGGTGTATGTGTTTCTACAGAAAGAGAGGAGGGAAAAACAATTCAAGATGAAATATGTTTCTACCTGGGGAAAGGATGTGGAGAGAGCATGTTTTCAGATTTATATCTCACTGGGGCACTGCTATGGGAACTTGGTGGATGACTAAGCTAAAATTTCTGAAATAACAAGAGCTTCCTTCTTTTTCAACACATAGGATCTCTTGGAGTAGTTCCATTTTGCATCACTTTTTTAAGTCCTAAGTTTGTCTAATTTAACTTTTCTCTCAAATTGAGATCTCCAACAGTTCTTATTTTCTGGTATTATCAGTAATTTATTGTTACTTGTTTTTGTTACTCGTTTATGGATATTTTCATCTAATTCCTTCCCAAATTTTCTGTTTCCTGTGTACCCGAATTTATTCCTTCATTTCTCTCTCATGATGCTCTCTTGAGTCAAAGGTCAACAGAATAATGAGTCACAAAATAGGATAAAGTGCTCTGATAATCATAATTTAGAGAAATGCTGATTTCCGTTCTCAGAGATACTCTGCAGGATGTCTATCTAACGTTGTCTAAGATATTTTGACCAAAAGGACTTTTGAGAATTCTTAGTATATTGGGACACTCAACGCATATAAGGGATGGCATTCATCTGGGGATTTCTCACTTGAGATCCAAATATAGGTTTTAAATAACCTACCAATATAGACTGGGAAAGAAAGCTTATAGCTCTTCTTTCATAGTCTTAATTAAAAAAAAAAACTGCAATGTAGGATTGTACTCATTATTAAATTGTCATTTGCAGTTTCCTCCCTGAGTGTAGGAAAGGGAGAATGCACACTGAGTGCCTACTTTGTGCTAAGCACCTGAGGAATATGATCTTATTTAGTTCAGGGCCACAAACAGTCCGCATTCAGGTTTGAAGTTTGACTAAAGTTGTTTAAAATGACCATATCATTGAGTCTCACAACAAACCATGGTTCTTTCCTAAAGAAATAGTCTTTCTGAAATAAAGCCCTTTAATGCAACCTGATTATAGATGGAATGTTCTGAACATGATCTACAAAGTCATACTGTGACAGGATAAACTACAGCCTACCCACACCCACCCACACACAGAGCACACACACGGTATAGATTCATATTTTTTTCTGCCAAGGAGCAGGGAAAAAAGGAAACAGTTCTATTCCTTCCCCTCCTGTGTTCAAAGCCTGGATTGAGGCCAGTGTCCTAATCAGTTCTCATTGGCCCTGGAGGAATCAGAACCTTTTGTAAAATATAATAAAGGGCATAAAATCATGATAAAATGCATGAAAAAGCAGTGCCTTTGGTTAGGGAACTAGAAATAATTTAGCAGAACAGATGGATTGCATTGGTTTGGTATTATTGAGGACATGAAAGGGCTCATTTTGTGGCAGTTCCAAACTAAGAGAAAATGTCCAACTTAAATTTGACAAGTCAAAGTACCTGCCTTTGCTGGGAGAGACCCCATTTTCTTTAATCATTTTCAAAGTGGTGACATATTAGGCAAGAATTTCTACTGAAATATCTCATTTTCCGAAAATACTTCATTCAATGATCCTATATATAGGGGTATGTTTTAATTTTTTTTCCACAAAAATCCTTAGGGTCATAGATACAAAGAGTTAAAGAAAAGAATCATAAATGATTTAGAAATGTCAAAATTATCCTCTGTTACAAAATTCATACATATTAGTAAATGAATCAGTACATGACCCATTCATTCCTGACAGAATCTTCTCTCTTAAACAAATAAAAAATATCTGGCCTCATTGTTTATGCCTCCTGGAGTTTTCAAATATTACAACCAATTGCTTCTTTAAATATCCAATAAAATATATTTTCTACCCCACCTAGCCAATAAAAGATATTTTCCAAATGAGTCCTCTCCT